CTCTTTACGGAGCCGCCGACAGTAATGGTGGATGTGTTAATTAGCGTTCGGATTAAATCCTCTTTGCCGGCTCTTTAAGCGCGTTCTCTTGCTTATGGATCCGAATGCCGGGAGGGCGAGGTCGAGGGGGAATAAAGGCCAATTTTTTTGATTGATTAGGAAGCGGTTTCACCTCGCTACTGGACCTGATAGCGTAAAAAAGGGGGATCCACCCGCTGAGAGAGAGAAAAAATCGTCCGACATCGAACGCTGTCAGCTGACGGAAGGTAAACAAACGGGCGCCGACGCTCTTGAGGTTGTTCTGATGGATGGATAGAGGGAATAGGGGTCTGTGACGTGGATAGAACAAGGAGAGGGTGGAGGTGGAGGGTTGGAGGGGTGGAAGGGGTTGCAATTTATAGCTGAAGGAGGAGGCGAGGGGAGAAGAAAGGAGCTGGTCAGATTGTGGTGAAGGGCTGCTATTATTAGGTTTGTTGAATGTGTAATGTGAGTTTGTTCATTCTCTCTCTCTCTCTCTCTCTCTCTCTCTCTCTCTCTCTCTCTCTCTCTCTCTCTCTCTCTCTCTCTCTCTCTCTCTCTCTCTCTCTCTCTTCTCTTCTCTCTCTCTCTCTCTCTCTCTCTCTCCTCTCTCTCTCTTCTCTCTCTCTCTCTCTCTCTCTCTCTCTCTCTCTCTCTCTTCTCGCCTTTGCCATCTATTTCTCTTTATCTACCCCTCATCTTCTTCCTCTGTTTCTCGCTTAATCATCTGTTTCAATCTCGAACGCGTCTGTTGCATCCATCACCAGAACACGCGCGAAGCCGGCGATTTACGGGCGAAGACAGCTGATGTGAATCATTCGCAAAACCAGGAAATGCAATTTGCACATAAGGCGCTGCAACAGTTTCTCTTTCCACATCAGAAATGGGCGTCTCGAGAGGACGAAAGGGGCGGCACGGCGGAGGATTCAGAAAGGGACGAAAAGGGGGTGGGGGGACCATATATCCGGGTTGTGGCGCTGGGAAGTTACATCACTAATGACCGCTGTCTCCACTAGGGGAGCTGGTGCCGGGCGGACGAGCAGATATGAGCTATGGTAATGAATCTCCCATAGGAACGAAAAAAGAAAGATTTTTTTTCTCTTTTTCTTATTCTCAATCGTATGTAGGAATGGGTTCTACTACTTATGCGGTGATAGATCCTTTCTGGTGTTTAATGTCTAATGTCAGTCATAAGCCTCACTGGATGTCTACTGATTGTTTGCGTAGAAATTGGCAAAAAGGTTCTTGGAATTTTCAAACCTGGCTCTTAATGGTCGTAGAAAAGGCGTCTCTTGGAAAGGTCGACACATGTTAACTATATAAAGTTACCAGTAACCTACAGGTAACACACCTGCTTAGGAATATTGACCTTTAAAGGTCACAGAGGATTATCCAGTCCACCAAAAAATATTGTTAGCAGACAGTAATACAATATTTTAATGGTATTCATGGGATCAAATAAACAGCATTAGTAAAATCATAAAACGCCAAAGACAAAAATTGAACTCAGTGACCTTTGAAGGCCATGCAGATATGTCATAAGCCCCGTACTATAGTGACCCACAAACGTCATGCAAAAGGGGTCACACGCAAGGCAGACCAGTGAACCACGGAGGTCAAGGAAAGAGGAGGTCACGACACCAAGTAACCCACAAATACCGAGTAGTTTGTTCAACCCGAAGTCTTCAGCAAACCCAAAAGGTCATCGGGAGCGAGTCCTAGGGGGGAGGGGATGGGGGGGGAGGGGGTAAAGGAGGAATTGAGTTTAGGTGCTCAGGACAATTCTTTTTTTTCTGAAGTTTAGTTTTTGATGGGGCTGCGATAACGAGTTTATGATATTGTCCAAATAAGTTTAATGTGCGTTTGGGAATTTGGATTAGACACTTCATGTCCCTTTTTCTTTCGGTGATTAGGATCTTTTGTATTCTCTAGAGTAACGAGTTCAGGATATTATTACTCAAAAGTTCTGCTGTCTTTTTTAAAAGGTTTGTGCGTAGATCCATTTCATTTTTGAACCTATTTAGGCTGGGGTTCATATCCAAAAGCATTACTCAGATGAGCTCACGAGGACCAGAACTCGAAGTCAGGAGGAGAGGTACGAGTGAGTTCAAAGGCCTCGGAGAATTCACGGCAAGGGATGACCTAACTCGTGTGGGAAATTTACACATATGCAAACTAAGGCGACAGAATAACCGAGCAAACAAACAAACACAAGGCAAAGAACGAGCAAACCCATACGCAAAAACACACACGTAAGTACATCTGGTTCCTACATTACTCGACTGTCTCTTTAATCGTTCATAATTCACCTTCAAGCAACTGTGATGCGCCTGTAGTTCCCATCATGCCGTGTATTCTGTGGCCCTCCCCTTTCCTCGGTCCTCCCCCCCCTCTCCCTTTCCCCCTCTCCCCTTCCCCCTTCGCACCCTTCTCCACCTACTTCCTCTGCCTCCCTCTCCCTTTCTTCCTTCCTTCTTTCCCTTTTTCCTCCCTTACTTCTCCTCTCTACCTCATCCTTCTCTCCCCTTCCTCTCTTCCCTCTACTTACCTTCTTTCCCTCGCGCATCCTCCCTTACTTCTCGCGCCTCCCTCTCCCATCCTTACCCTTCCATCCCTCTCCCATCCTTATCCTCCATCCCCCCGCCTCTCTTCCCCATCCTTATTCTTCTTTCCCCATTGCCCTCCCTTATCCTTACCCATCTCCCCCTCCCCACATTTCTGCCTCTTAACCTTCCCTTCCCGCTTTTCCCCTCTCTTCTCCCTTCCCTTCCTCCCCTCTCTTCTCCCTTCCCTCTTCTTATCCTTCTTCCCCCTCCCTCCTCCATTACTCTTACACTCCTGCCATCCCTCCTCCTCTCCCTCCACTCCCTCCCCCTCCCCCTTCCCTGCCCAAGGGTGTGCGACCCCTGTTTTTTTTCTAGACTGTCTTACGTGTGTATGTTGGCGTCCATGTGCGCGTTTGAGTTATGGTAAGGTATGTTTATGAGCACCGCGTATTCTTTCTGCGTGTGCGTGCATGTCTGTCGTGTACGTGGGCAGGTGAGCAAGCAGGTATGGCCGTACTTTCCGTGCAAGTGTGCATGTGTGGGTGAAAGTATAATGTAGTTCATGCAGTGCTGTGAGTAAGGCCGTGACTCAGAGATTTTCTGAATGCTTTACGTCACTGCAGAGAGACGTCGGTTCATCTGCGTTCAAGAAGCGGCGTCACGGCCTGGCTTAAGGAAAGGAGAAAGAGCGAACGAGGGTGACTGACTTGGAAGCGCGGCGAACCCGTTTATCTTGGGAATTTCTTAACTGTTAGGGGTGAGTGGTGCTAGGGTATTGGGCATGCATGAGGGAAAGAAGGGGGGAGGGAGAGAAGGAGAGGAGGAGAAAGAGAGAAGGAAGAGAGAGAGAGAGAGAAAGAAAAAGAAAGAGGAAGGGAGGGAGGGAGAGAAACAAGACAGACAGAGATAGAGGAAGAGAAAACAGAAAGTGCTAGAGACAGAAACAGAAAACATAAACTAAAAAAGAAAAGAAGAGCGATAGATAATAATGATAATAATAATAATAACAATAATAATTATAATAATGATAATAATGAAAAAACGCGGGACATCGAAGCAATGAAACACGCGCAGTGACATATTGCAGAGCCAGCTGATGTCTCTCTTGTTGATGATGTTGCAAGGCAGAGTAGCAAGACGTGATGGATCGGGATGCGTCGTTGCACATATCACATTACCTGGATGCAGATGCCATACTTGTAGAGAGAGGGGGGGGGGTAGAGGAATGATGTCCCCCTATACATTCCCTCCCTCCCTCCCTCCTCCTTCTCTGCCTCCCCCCCTCCCTCCCCCTCCCTCCCTCCTTCTCTACCCTCCCCTACCCCTATCCCCCTTCCTCCATCTCCACTATATCCTTCAGCGCTTGTTTAAGTACTCTCTGTTTGTTGTTTGATTGTTGTTGTTTTTTTGCTTTGCCTTGTTTGGGCGTCGCTGTCGGGCTGGGGGTCGAGTGGGGTTATATCGCGTCTGGTTTATTGGAAGCGACGTCGTGGCAGTCGTTACGCTGCTGTTGAAATATTAATCTTTTGTTGTGTTGGAATTTTATTTATTTATTGTGTTTATTTGTTTATTTATGTATTTGATTTTTATTATTTTTAATTTTTTATTTTTTATTTATTTATTATTTTTTTTACTTTCACTGGCAGTATTTTCTTACTTAGAGATAAATGATGTTCCTTTTTTAAGATATCTTTCATGTGGGTATTACTTTGCTTCTAACTTCTTTTTGCACATTTTTTGTCATGCATATCACTATTTTTTACTGCTGTCATATATTTTTTATTTTCTTTTTAAATTTTCAACATTTAAAAAAATCTTTATAGTGAAACTCAGCCTTTTCTATCTTAAGATTTGAATTTTAGGGACTATTGCAAGCCCTCTAATTATTCTCATCGTCGCTGTTATTAACTTAATTATCCAGCATCCAGGTAGGAGGTAATTGTCTCTCAAGGAAGGAAGTGAACGGAATTAGGGGTTGGACACGGGAAGGGGGGGGGGTTAAGGGGTGAAGGGGGGTAAGGGGGTGGGCATAGAGGGTTGGGGACAGAGAGGGGTAAGGGAGTAAGGGGTTAAGGGGGTAAGGGGTTTGGGCACAGAGGGGGGGGAGGTGGTAAGGGGGGGGCATATAAGGGGGTATGGGGTTTGGGCACAGACGGGGGTAAGCGAATAAGGGGGATAAGGGGCTGGGTACATAGAGGGTATAGGGTATAAGGGAGGGAGGGGGTAAGGGTGTTAGGGTGGAGGGCTTTATACAATAGTTGTTGAGATTAGTTACTACGACGGAAATCTTTCGTCATCAGCAAATCTATTTTCATACATTCTAACCTTTTATTCTAAATCAAGGAAAATAAAATAGACTTTAAAACAGATCTTTTTTCTTTCTTTTTGCTTTACTACGACCGTGGGAAAATAGGTGTGACGTTTGAATCTCGGGAGATGCTGGGCAGAAGTTTGAATGTCTTAAGGAATTATGAATATGTAGATGTGCATGTAAATCCAGCTTATGTAAACAAGCACATGTACATGTCTGCGTGTTTTGTTTCTTCTTATTACTTTTTTTCCTTTTTTTGTGGAGTAGTGGACATCTGCATATGTACGCGCATCCTCGTGTTTGTGTGAGTGAGTTGTGTGTGTGTGTGTTGTGTGTGTGTGTGTGTGTGTGTGTGTGTGTGTGTGTGTGTGTGTGTGTGTGTGTGTGTGTGTGTGTGTGTTGTGCGTGCGCACAAAAAGGTTGAGTTGTTGACACATCATTGATTACACGCTTTAGCTGTCACAGACACAGGAAAGATCTGTCAAGGCGTGTCCCTTCCTTCCTCCTCCCCTCCCCCCATTACCACCCCAATTCATGTTTCACCCCCCCCCCCACTCGCAGGCCATCCGCCCCACTTCCCTATTATGACAGTTCTGATGTTTTTTTTTTATTTTTTTTTTTCATTTATATTTTTTTTTGTCCTGGGAGACATACGACAAGTGAGAAACGAGGAAGACACTAATGAAATGAGATAGGATAGATTAGAAACCAAAGATAGACAGCACGGAGAGAGAGAGAGAGAGAGAGAGAGAGAGAGAGAGAGAGAGAGAGAGAGAGAGAGAGAGAGAGAGAGAGAGAGAGAGAGAAGAGAGAGAGAGACAGACAGACAGACAGAGACAGAGAGACAGAGAGACACAGAGACAGGCAAACAGGCATAAAGACAGCAACAATAAACAGAAAGAGAAAGAGAAAGAACGAGAGAGAGAGACCCTTTTATCGTGCTCTACCTGAGTTCTGAAAAATGATGATAACAGATTACAGGCGAAGGGGATGCATTAATTACACACCTAGGTATATGCAAATCACCCTGACATCCTTTTCCTTGTTATCGCGGGCTCAGGGTGGGAAGGGTGGGCGGCCGGGAAATAATTAGAGTGAAACGCTGTTCCATACCCAGTTGCCGGCGTCCCTCCATCATTTTTTTTTTTTTTTTTTTTTTTTTTTTTTTTTTTTTATCCTTGTCATCTCGTTTGTAGTTGATGTTGGTGATTATTTGCGTATTAGCTTTGTTATTTCTCCTCCGTGTAATTTTATTCTTTTGAAGGGTCATTCAGGCTATTGCTGAGTGTATTTCGTTAACTGGAGATTATCATTTGGAAAGTTTTTTTTTTTTTCATCTTTTATTGTTGATGAAATGCAAATGTGAAAATCTTAGGTGCCCGAGTCACTGACCTCCAGAGGCTGACCTACCCAAGTCGTGTGCGTATGTGAGCATATATTTGTGTGTACCTCTGTCGCGTATGCCATACATCATGTGTGCGTATACATATATTCATTTTCACTCCCTACGCACATACCATTTTTCTCTCCTTTTTTTTTTTATCTCCCGACGTTGACTAATTTTCCTCTATGCATTTTTCTCCCTTCTTCAGGTTGCTGGTTGGGGCGCCGCGCTTCGAGACGGACCAGCTGCAGCGAGGGGTGTCGAGGGCGGGGGCGGTGCTGCAGTGCGACCCCGACGTGCCCAACCGATGCGACTACGTGCCCTTCGACAGGAACGGTGAGTTGTGGGGGGTAGGGGGTAGGGGGGGGGGAGGGGGGGTCTTGTCGATGTGGTATTGCTTTTTTTTCATTCTTCTTTCTTGTCTTCTTCTTCATTTCAATCGTTTGTTTCACCAATTTTTTTCACATTCTTTTAATTTTTTTTCACTTCTTGGTCTTCTTCTTGTTCCTCCTCCTCCTTCCTCTCCATCCTCCTTAAATCTTAAGATCTTAAAATCTTTTGAAATCTTACCCCTTCTCCTTACTTCTTTTTTATTTTACTCCTTTTCTTCTCCTTCGTTATCTTCTCCTTTTCCTTCTCCTTCTCCTACTTCTTTTTCTCTTCCTCCTCTTCTTTTATTTCTTCTCCTCCTCCTCCTCCTCTCCTTTTTACTTTACTCTTCTTTTCTTCTTTATCTTCTTCTCCTTCTTACTTCTTCTTTTTTTCTTTTCCTCTACCTACTTCTTCTTCTTCTTCTTCTTCTTCTTTTCTTCTTCTTCTTCTCCTACTCCTCCTCCTTCTCTCCTCCTCCCTCCTCCTCCTCCTCCTCCTCCTCCTCCTCCTCCTCCTCCTCCTCTCCTCCCTCCTCCTCCACCTCCTCCTCCTTCTCCTTCTCCTTACTTCTCCTTTTCCTTTTCTTTTTCTTTTCTTCTTCTTCCCTCACTATTTTTCCTGTCTGCCTCCTCCGTTTTATTTTCCTCTTTTTGTCTTGTTTTTCCCTTAGTAACAAAGAATGTAACGCATGACTGCGATGAATGCTAATGATATTATTAATGATTGTGCAAATGATTAAAAAATATATATCATAAAAAACAGGTATACAATTATGATGCATTCCGCAAATAATGGAAATAAAACCTATTTATAGAAAAGAAAAACGATTATTAAATTGTGATTATGACCATGAAACAAGATAATGAGTGTTATGATACTATAGAAATGGTGATGAAAGTTAAAGTACATTAAAAGTATAAAAATAGTACAGATGGCATCACGTGAGTGTTAATGTGATATTGATATTACCCAAAAAATGATTATTCTACATAATGGAATGCCACTTTTTTTAAGGCATTTGGATCCACTATTACAAATAAACCACTAAAGATGCCCTAAAAACATTTAAACATGGAGAAGACGCGGTACTTCAAAAGACTAAATAAACTCTTACATCCAGTGAAGAATCTCGCCCGTCCCACCGAATCTCGGAGATAATGTTGAAGAGAAAGATCAACGGGTGAATGTGTTTGTGGAGATGGAGATGCTCGTGTAAATCTGTGGAGGAACATGAGGACTGTCACTGCACTGAGCCCGCGACGCCCAAGGCCCGGGCAGGAAGAGGCTGTGTCTAACCTCTTAACGCTTCCTTCCCTTTTTTCTTTTTCTTCTAATGTCCCCTTCCTAGCCTCCTCTTCTTTTCTCTTCTCGGTTCTTATTCGTTCTCTTTGCTGTTTTCTTCTCAAGTCTCCTTCTTCTTTCATGTATCTTTCGTTGCTTCCCTTCGGGTTCTCCTTCTTTTGCCTTCCCCTGTTCTCTTTCCTGTTATCCCCTCCCCTTCTCCTTTTCTCAGTTCTCCTCTCCTTTCTTTTCTCTTCTTTCCCCCCCCCCCATCCCCTTCTTCTTTCTTCCTACGCCATTCTCCTCCTGCTCTCCTCCCCATTCCTCTTTTCTCAATTCTCATCCCCCCATTTCCTCTCTCCTCCTCTTTTCCCTATCCCCCTCCTCTCCTTTCACTCTTCCCCTACTCTTCCGACTCTCTCCCCTCTGCCCTTTCTCAGATCTCGTCCCCCTCCCACCCACCCCAGTTCCTCCACCCTTCCCCTCCTCCACCCCTGGCGCCCTCCTCCCAGTGCCACGAATTCCCTGGCACTGGTCAAGGAGGGTCAGGGCAGGAAGAGCGTCCCAGCAGGCGGTCCATTAGGGCTGAGGATCTCTTCATCGCGGTCCAGGGCACTCAAGGAGCTGCGGGATGTGTGTGTAGGTGTGGGTGTGTGTTGTGGGTCCTGCTTCCCTGCGCTGGAAAGTGAAGGTGGAAGTGAAGGTTTACAATGGGAAGAAAGAACTGCAAGAGAGGAGGAAGAGGTAGAGAAGAAGAAGAAGAAGGAGAGAAGTTAAGGGAAACAGAGTATGTTGCAGGATGATGGATAAATGGGCGGAAGATTAATTCCTTTTCTTATCCTAAAGGAAGAAAATTAAAGTAAGAGAATATAGGCAAATAAATAAAGATAGAAGGAGGGTAGAAAAGAAGGAAAGACAAAAAGATAGAAAGAAAGAAGGAAAAGAAGAATTACTGGAAGAAACTTTCGATGCCTTAAGACAACATTTCCGCAGCAGCTGCTTGGTGTCGACAACGGTTTTGGTCAACCTTTTAACCTCCCAGATCTACCGTCACCAATCACTCGCAAACCCAGCTCCAGTCGCCTCCCAAGAACGTCTTTTACCATCACCACCATACGCTTACGTCGTGATTAATGCTGCAACGCGATCGACGGAGATTAGATAGCCTAATCATTTGCGCAATAAACCAACGCAACAGATCTGAAAGCCATCTTTATGTACAAACGTTCATGGCGAGCGCAGCCTTCTGTCTTCTTTCTCAAGCATTTTTCATTTTTACGACCTCCGGAGGTCATGACTCGACGGAGACGACCTTCAGCAGCGGTTTGGAATCCTCGGCTCAAGACAGGACGACACGAGCAGGCGTTCGGGATCTAAGGCCCAGTGAGAGCTCCGGGATGTCAGGGCTTAGTTGAAGTTTTGATTGATTCTTGGCTGAATCTTGCTCATTTCAATATCAAAGGTAAAGTATTGTGTGTAAGAATACATAAGAATCCACCTTCAGGTCTTGTCAAGCTAATACTGTCAAGTCTACTAGCGTAAGGAAAAAGAAATGAGATGAAATATAGGCCACGTTCATCGGAGACAAGTGAGCTCGTGAGGGACAGATGTCTGTCAAGCGTGAGGGCTGACGTCACAAGACAAGATGTCATGGGACAATCGGCGGTAGATGTCCTCCTACAGACTAAATTGTTTACATCCTCCCGCATCTGCGTGTGTGTGTGAGAGAGAGTGTGTATGTGCGCGGCTACGTGCTTTAGAAAGGTCCATGGGCTATGTATATTTTCTCGAGAAATTGTGTTTACCAAATTGTCTCTCTTTCAGTTTACACGACCTTGCCACCTTCTACCAAGACCTCCGATTATAAACTCCTCTATCACTATTGTTTCATTCGGCTTCTCTCTCTTTCCGCCTGAAAGTCAAGAGTGAAGCTTCGAAATTTTCTAACCCACTAACCCACCGACCCACTAACAGGTGCCCACTGACTCTACCCGCAGGTAACCGGCATATTCCCTCCATGATATTCGATCCTTTCAACCCGAGTAAGCTATATTTCCCCTCTGTGTCATGTGTATTGCCCTTAGGGTCCAGCGTGCTTAGCAACTGCCCTCTGTCACTTCCCCCCCCCCCTTGCTCTTCATTTCCTTTCTTATTTCTTCCCTTCTTCGTTCCATCTTCCTATCTTTCATTTCCCCTTTTCCTTCTTCTCACAACTCTTGCTCTCTCTTTCTCTTCACTCCCCATTCCATATTTTCTCTCCCTTTCCTCTTTTCCTCTTCCGTTCTTTCGGCTCTCTTTCCTCTCTGTCTCTCTTTCTCTCTTTGCTGTCTCCTCTCCCTATCCGCTCTTCCCTTTCCCATTCCTCTTTATTTCTCCCCATCCACTCTTCTCCCCCATTTGTATTTTCCCCTTCCGTTCTTTCGTCTCATTTTCCTCCCTACCCCTCTTTCCTCCTACCTCTCTTTCTCTCCTTCTCTCTCCCTCCCCACCCCCATCTTCTCCCTCCCTCCCCCCCCCTTCTCCCTCCTTCCCCACCCCCTTCTCCCACCCTCCCCACCCCACTTCTCCGCCCTCTACAACGTCACTGAATCTAGGCTCATTAGCCCCTTTAGACTCCCCTTAAATAGACCAGTTTCAGACTTTCTTCTCACCGACACGCTTCCTAGTCCCTGTACAAAACACGCTTCTCACAACTCGCGCCACGCTTTGCACAACCCGAGTCTCCTCCAGTCATCACCTCACTGTAGTATCGAGTCGTTCACGCTGTAACCCTTTCTGTAACGCAATTGTAACCACGACTTTATGTAATCCTCTTAGTCCTTCTGCAATGCAATCCTAGTCTCTAAGTACGAGGACGGGCCATGATGCAGAGATAAAGGAATTGAGAGATACATAAAAAGGTTTATATCAGATTTCGAAAAAGGATGTGTGTGTTTCTTTGTCTTACTGGACAATGGGGGATAAAAATAGGGCTGATGTTGTTGAAATCCATTAGAAAAAATGATTTTTTATTGTTTTTATTATCATTATTGTTTTATTGTTGTTGTTATTTATTATTTGTTATTGCTGCTGTTATTGTTGTTCTTTTTTCTTTTGTTGATGCTATCATCACCATCATCATCATCATCATCATCATCACCATCACCATCACCATCATCACCACATCATCATCGTACCATCATCACCATCACCATCGTCATCATCTTGATATTATTATTATTTCCTTACGCTTCCGGCGTAGGCAAGCTCCGTTATGGGAATATCTGAACTCATTATTCATATTCTTTGTCAATTCCTCTTTAAGATTATTACTATTAGTAGTAGCGTAAGACATTATTACTATTATAATTAGTAGTAGTAGTAGTAGTATAAATATCATTATCACCATTACCATTATAATGATTTTGCAGTAAAGTCTTTCTGTCGCCATACTAACATCACACAGTTCTCCCCAAGAGGACTTGCCTGACCTCCTGAAATGACTCACTCTCGCAACACAAGACCTTTGCCCATGAGAGGGACCGGAGGGTCAACCGAGGTCAAGCGAGATCTCCATTGATTTCAGGGTCAAGGATCCGTCGAGTTGATATGAATTGATGGTTTGTCAGCGAGGATGCGGGAGATAGCATTAAAGAATGGAATATTTTTGGTTTTATTTATGGTGTTTGGTGATAGGAATATTG